TCCTGTCTCATTGTAACTTTGTACCCATTGACCAACTTCTCCTCATCCTTCCCTCCCACATTTCCTCTCCAGTCTCTGGCAACCACTGTTCTACTCTCTGCTCTTATATGCCAACTTTTTTTTTTAATTCCACATATAAGGGAGATCATGTGCTATGTATCATTCTGTGTCTGGCCTGTTTCACTTAACATGATGTTCTCCAGGTTGATCCATGTTGTCACAAATGACAGAATTTCATTCTTTCTTAGGGCTGAATGGTATTCCACTGTGTGTGTGTGTATATATATATATATCTATCACATTTTCTTTTTTTTTTTTTTTTTTTTTTTTAGATGGAGTTTCGCTCTTGTTACCCAGGCTGGAGTGCAATGGCGCAATCTCGGCTCACCGCAACCTCCGCCTCCTGGGCTCAGGCAATTCTCCTGCCTCAGCCTCCCGAGTAGCTGGGATTACAGGCATGCGCCACCATGCCCAGCTAATTTTTTTTTTTGTATTTTTAGTAGAGACGGGGTTTCACCATGTTGACCAGGATGGTCTCGATCTCTTGACCTCGTGATCCACCCGCCTCGGCCTCCCAAAGTGCTGGGATTACAGGCTTGAGCCACCGCGCCCGGCCACATTTTCTTTATCCATTTATGCATTGTTAAATACTTTGGTTGACTCCACATCTTGGCTATTGTATATAGTGTTGCAGTAAACATGGGAATGCAGATATTTCTTCAACATACAGATTTTATTTCCTTAAGATATATACCTAGTAGTGAGATTGCTGGATCACATGGTAGTTCTATTTATAATTTCTTGAGGAAAACCCATTCTGTTTTTCATACTTTACGATTTTACCAACAGTGTGTAAGCGTGTGTTCCCTTTCCTCCACATTCTCACTAACAGTTGTTTTCTTTTGTCTTTTGACAGCCATTTTAATAAGAGTGAGGAGATATATCAAGGTAATTTTGATTTGCAATTCTCTGATGATTAATGATGTTAAGTATTTTTTATACATCTGTTTGGCCATGTCTCCTTTTGAGAAATGTATATTAAGATCCATTTTAATTAGATTTTTTCTACTGTTAAGCTTCTTATATAGTCTATATTATAACCCCTTGATACATGCATAGTGTGCAAATATTTTCTGAAATTTTGTAGGAATTTCAGAAAATATTTGAAATTCTTCACTATGTTAATAGTTTTCTTTGCTGTGTAAAATCTTTTTAGTTTGATTTAACCACATTTGTCTATTTTTGCTTTTAATTCTGGAGCTTTTAAGGTCTTATTTTACAAATTCTTGCCTGGCCCAATGTTATGAAGTGTTTCCATATCTTTTCTTCTGTTAGTTTCATAGATTCTGGTTTTACATTTATGTCTTTCATCTATTTTAAGTTTATTTTTGTGTATGGTGAGAGATAGGTGTCTAGTGTCATTCTTCTGCATGTGAATATCTGGTCTTACAAACACTATTTATTGTCTTTACCCTGATATCTTACTCTTGGCATCTTTATTGAAAATCAGTTGGCTTTAGGTGCTTGAATTTGTTTCTACACTTTCTGTTTTGTTTCATTGGTCTATGTGTCTGTTTTTAATCCATTCCCATGCTATTTTGGTTACTATATCTTTACAGTATATTTGACATCACATAGTATGATGTCTTCAGCTTTTTTCTTCTTTGTTCAGTTTGCCAATTTGGGATCTTTTACAGTTCCATATGAATTTCAGGATTTTTTTCTGTTTCTGTGAAAAATGTCATTGGAATTTTTTTATAAGGATTGCATTAAATCTGTAGATTTCTTTGGGCAGTATGGTTATTTTAACAATGTGAATTGTTCTAATCCATGAACATAAGATATCTTTCTATTTTTTGCATCGTGTTCAGTTTCTTTCATCAGAGTTGTACAGTTTTCAGCATAGAAATCTTTCATTTCCTTGGTTAAGTTTATACCTAGTTACTTTTTTTTTGTAGCTATTGTAAATGGAATTGTTTGTTATTTCTTTAGCAGATAATTCACTACTAGCATAGAGAACTGCCACTGATGTATGTTAATGCATAGATAGAATAACTTGCCTCCTTCCTTCTCTATTACCACATTATATTAAATATATTCATTAATACACTTAATCCATAGGTTGAATTTTTTCCTATTGAAGAGGGGATCAACATGCTTGGTTTGGGTGAGAAGTAAGTGTACTATATTATGAGGCACCTCTAAGCACTGGAAGAAGGGATATATTAATTTTTACTGAGTACCTGGCTGTGCAGTCTCTCTTGCTCTTGTCCACTTCAGGATGTCTATTTCCATCCTTCCCATTGTATTGTGAACCACTCAATATCATTTCAACATATTTATTTGCAAAATTAGAAACCAAGAGTTTGTCTTTAGTTTGCAATTAAGAGCCCTAAATGCTGAATCACTGGTCTCCAATTTTTTCCAATGCTAAAATTCATTCAAGTGATGCCAAGACCATATCCTATCTCCTTCCTCTAGAGATGACATCTCTTTGGATACATAATCTCTAGTCAAAATATTCAACTCAATTCTCTAGGTATTTACTAAGTGTTTCCCACTACTAGGCACTAGAGAAGACACAGAAAAGAACTCTGAAAATGCTGACCATCTCACTGGGAGAAGACACACAAAGAAAACAACTACCTCATTGTGAAGTGCAAAAATCAACTAAGTTACAGATCAGAAATCACAAGCGGGAAGATCATATGAAGACAAAACAAGGGGGAAAAAAAGCAGAGCTGTCTGTCTATGCCCCATTTACCTCATCAAAACTGGGATGCAAAAATTACTGTTCATCTTGAAGAAAACACTTCAGGGATATTATCCCAAAGGGCTGAGAAGGACCTGAATGTCCCAGGTGAGACCAGCACCATGATCCTATTAATTCTGAGGCTTAGAGGAAGAGTCCAATCTGAAAAATACCTAAGAGCGGCTGAGTCTCCACCTGCAACTCTGCTAAGGATAAGGAAAGCCACTGGGTCTAGAAACCAGTAACTTCCTGAGATTTTTACCGTCATTCAGAGTTGAGTCTCTTTAGAATCCAGCATTGGTCTTGACCAGGTAGGCAGCCACCTTGGGAACTCAGAACAATTTGTGCAGGACTACTGGTAGGTGGGAAAGGTAGAAGAGGAAGGAGAGCTCAGAGGTTTTCACTTAGAAACTTACAATTCCCCTCCTCCCTAGTCAAGCCCAAACCAGTCCACGGCTTGGTAACCACGGGCCAGTCTGTGTCTTCAGTATAGATGCCTGCCAGTTATTTAGTTCATTTCCATTTTGCTGCAGATTCTCCCTTCTACATGTGTTTTCCCTTCTCTCTGATTTGTAAGCCAAGATTTTCAGAAGCAAAGAGACTTCAGTTCTCTGCTTCAATCTCCAATGCCTTTCAGTTTTCAGGAATTCCAGAGACTAAGATTTCCTCTTTTCTGGCCTCTGAATGGAAACACAACCTTTGAGAGACAAGTGATTTTGGAGATAGGTAGAAGAGAGGGATAAAATGGGAGGGAGACAATGTTAGGAGAGTAGAAAGAGGGACCAATGTCTCCTTGTTCTGAAGTGATATTATTTCCAGTAAGTCACAGGAAAATCATATTAGGTCCAATCTCCTTTCTCTACTCCTAGATGACAACTTGTGACATCCCTTTACCTTTCTAACCACATAAGGTTTTAAAAATGTTTAACTTTGATACTGAAGGCCCAGTTCCAGTTATTAAAAAGCCAAATCCAGTTCAATTTTAAACTTCAGCTTCACTATCAATTCAAAGCATGGGTCCTCCCTTTGAGCTCAGATCTGATATGTAGCTTGGGTTGTACAGCAGGAAGGCAGGAGCATATGTTCTTTTTTGCTTTGGACTCTCTTCCCACAATTACGTTTTTGTTACTACTGTTATTGTTGTTGTCATTTTAGTCTTCCCCTTCTTTTTTCAGTTTTATTGGAAGAATGGGGATGGGAAAAAAAGCAAAACTGTTCACATCTGTTGCCATAATACTAGCAGTTGGTGCCTTATGGTGCCTCTTTCGACCATTTTGGGATTTGTCAGAGACTGCCTTCTGGAGACTGCCCCATTATGCAGTTCCCTGACAAGGTCAATGAATTATTATCCCCTTGATCTCTTAGGATCTCTGAGAGTCACTTCATGATTTCTTAATGCCTCTTCTCCAATAGGCTGTTTCTGGATTGGCATCTCAACAAAGTGGCTTGACGCCAACGACCTCCTATAGCATTACATGTCCTATAGGAAAGTCATATATTCATGCCATGCCATGGGTGAAAATGCAGGATTCCTCTACTAACCAAATTTTTTTCCCTCTACCCCTGCCATTGTGGGCTGATCCAGTGAGCCCTTCACCTTTAGAAGTGAGATTAAACACAAGTGTTTAAGTGTGTATATGCCTTCTACATTTTCTCAAGGCTACTCTCTAGCCACAGATGAAGTAAAACCCTGGTTGCTCCTTCCTTGTACTCAGTTCTTCAAAGCCCTTTCCTTTGGAGACCTCCCTAGCATTAGTGAGAAGAAGCACCCACACAATGGTGTACACTCCCACAGCCATTCCTAACCCTCAGCCATGTTTACTTCGTCAAACTCTTCACTTTCATGGCACTTGAAATTTCTGTTTCCCTAGATTTAAAGGATAAAGATAAAAAATTAAGATGGCTTGAGACCAGTTTGGTCACTTTTAAGTAATTCTTACAAGTGTATCTAATATCTTTGGAATATAGGGTATGCCTCATATATGATCCTCAGTTTGGGCAATTTAAACTACATTTAGAATCAACTGGAAAATTCACATACAGAACCCTATTAGAGTTTAAAACATGTTCATTTAGAAGTATCTGACATGTCCTGTCTTTTTCTATGGCATTTTCCAAATCTCGGCATTGCTGAAATACTTCCTTATTAAGTAGCACTTCCACTTAATAGGCAGAAGAAACTTTACTCAAGTGCCTTACCACAATGGCTGCTGCCAAATGGTACCACGTTAGGTTTTCTTGTAGGTGTATGAAGACTTTATGTTTCTTTCTTCATATCAGTAGAAATATGCATCAAGGAAACCAAACCACCATCGCTGAATTCATTCTCCTGGGATTTGTACACCAGGATGAGCATCAAAACCTCCTCTTTGTGCTTTTCCTGGGTATGTACCTGGTCACTGTGGTTGGAAACGGGCTCATCATTCTGGCCATCAGCTTGGACACTTACCTTCACACCCCCATGTATCTCTTCCTTGCCAATCTATCCTTTGCTGATATTTCCTCCATTTCCAACTCAGTCTCCAAAATGTTGATGAATATTCGAACCAAGAGTCAATTCATCTCTTATGAGAGCTGCATCACACAGATGTACTTTTCTATTGTGTTTGTCATCACTGACAATTTGCTCCTGGGGACTATGGCCTACGATTGCTTTGTGGCGATCTGCCACCCTCTGAACTATTCAACCCTCATGCAGCCCATGTTCTGCATTTTGCTCACAGTCATCCCGTGGCTCCTCAGTAATATTATTGCTCTGACACACACCATTTTGCTCATTCAGTTGCCCTTCTGTGACCACAATACTCTCTCCCACTTCTTCTGTGACTTGGCCCCTCTGCTCAAACTGTCCTGCTCAGACACAATAATCAATGAGCTTGTGCTGTTTATTGTGGGTTTATCAGTTATCATCTTCCCCTTTGCACTCATCTTCTTCTCCTATGCCTGCATCATCAGAGCTGTCCTGAGAAATCTTCTGCACAGGGAAAGTGGAGAGCCTTCTCCACTTGTGGCTCTCACCTCACAGTTGTATTACTGTTCTATGGAACCATTGTAGGTGCGTACTTTTTTCCTCCTCCACTCACCCTGAGGACACTGATAAGACTGGTGCTGTACTTTTCACTGTGGTGACACCCATGATGAACCCCTTCACCTACAGCTTGAGGAATAAGGATATGAAAGGTGCCCTGAGAAAGCTCATCAATAGAAAAAGTTCTTCCCTTTGATGCCCTGGATATCTAAATTCTTTCAATCTACATAATCAGATAAATGATTCAGTCCTGAGTGTATGGCACAGTTGCGATGGTTCAACTTTCGATGAGCTTGCAGATATCTGTCTCCTATTCCAACCTCTGAGGGGTTGGAGCTTTTCCACTTAGCTCTTGTCTTGGAAACAAAACCCATAACTTCCACGGTAAGTCATAAGAATAGCACACATCCTTAGAGACTAAGTAGATTGGTGGTTACCAGGGCTCAGGTCCAGAGAGGTGAAGTGGGGTTGAATAGAGGTTAATTAGTGGATACAAAAATACAGTTAGATAGAATAAATAAGACCAAATGTTTGATAAATCATTAGGGGGGACTATAGTAAACAATAATCAATTGTATATTTAAAAATAACTTAAAGAGAATAATTCAAATGTTCCCACCATAAAGAAAAGATAAATATTTAAGGTGATGGATACCCAGATCCTCTAATTTGATCATTACATATTATATGAACATATCAAAATAACAGATATTCCCCAAAAATGAGGGACAGTGTATCAAAAAAATACATGTATTAATAAATAAAAAGTTATGTGTAAAAAATAAAAATTAATCTTAAAACATACATCTTAATCACAATCTGTATTATTACAAACCTTGGTACAATTTTTTTTATAATTTAGACAATAACAAGGTGCATATAGTGCTTACAGCAGGCATCCCCAAACTATGGCCCACAGGCTGCATGCGGCCCCCTGAGGCCATTAATCCAGCCCCCCATCACACATCAGGAAGGGGCACCTCTTTCACTGGTGGTCAGTGAGAGAAGCACAGCATGTGGTGACCCTCCAACAGTCTGAGGGACAGTGAACTGGTCCCCTGTGTAAAAAGTTTGGGGACGCCTGGCCTACAGACTAGCTTTTGTTGATTTGAAGATAGTTATTACTACTTCTTTCTTTAATCTATATTTGTTTAGGTCAGCTTTTCTCAAAGCTTGTTTTGTTAAGGTACCTTTCAGTGAGATATTTTATGGGTGTAACAACAGAGATTCCCATGGCCAAATAATTTTGGGCAACTCTGAGTTAAGTGAAGCAAAATGTATTAACTGGACAACTTCTCAGAACCTTCATTGTCATGTAAATCTCTAAAAGGGTAAGATGGTAAACAGCAATTCTCAAGACTAAACTTGAAATAATTGAAATTTAATTATTTCAATCATACGGAACCTGATTCATCACACAGTTATTCATGGAACTAGCATTGTACAAATACATTTTAGGAAATATGACTCCAGATGTACTCAATTATTTCAATGGAAAACCACAGAGTGTATGTATAAAAGGTATCAGTTATAGTTCTGACTCTGTCCCCAACAGCTATATAGTATATAGTAGACACTAAAAACAAAGTAATACTTTTTTTTAACCACCCACTCTCCTGGCTTCTATCTCCAACCTACCTGCCCTGCCAAATTAAGTTTATTTTTTCCCAGCCTAAGCTGACTTCCATTTTTCTCTAAACTTAGAATCATCCAACCTATTTATGAGTAAATGTATAATCGGCCACCTGCCTTTCTCCATGCTATCTCTTAAACTTTTATGCTTCCTTTTAGTTTTTATTATAAATGTAAAACCTACCAGTTCGTTGTATGGGCTACCCAATAAGCCTCTCAACAGTTCTAGTCTTCCTCAAGTACCTCAATATCCATCCTGTTCCATCCATAACTCCAACATGGAACATCACAGAGCTCTGCCTTCATTATTCCATATGGAGCAATAGTAAGAGTCCTAGATTTATAACCAAGAAATATGGAGTCTGGCCCAACTCTGCAGTTAATTAACTGCAAGGCAAGCCATGTTGCTAATTTCAGTTTCTTTTTTCTGTAATATTGCAATTGGTCTAATATGAAGAAAGAAAGTTTAATAACAGCATGTATCATAAAATCCCATTTTTGTAAAAACAAAATTTGCATAAAGAGATGCCTCAGAGGAGAGTCAATAAAATACAAGTGGTTGTGCAGATTGTATTTCCCAAAAATGGCCACAGTATTTCCATCCCATGTGCTCTTGAAGTATCTACCCTATCACTTCTCCATCAAGAGGTGGAACCCATAACCCTCACTGTTGAGCTCAGTTTTGAGTGCTTATTTGACCAATAGAGCACCCCAAAAGTACTGTTGCATGATTTCTGAGACTTTCTTAGAAAAGCCAATTCTACTTTTTTATGGACTAAATGCTTGTGTCCCCACAAAATTTGCATGTTGAAGTCCTAACCCCCAAAGTGATGGTAGTAGGAGATGAGGCCTTTGATAGATGAGTCAGTCATGAGGATGAAGTACTATAAATTATTAGTGCCTTTACACAAGAGATCCAAGAGAACTCTCTATTTCTGCCACATGGAGGATAGAACAGGAAATCTGCAATCTCCAACCAGAAGAGAGGCCTCATCAGAACCTGACCATCCAGTTCATCTCAGACTTTCAGCCTCCAGAACTGTAGAAAGCAAGTGTTTTTTAAGCCACTCAGTTCATGGTAATTTGTTATAACATCCCAGACAGACTAAGACACACCTCGACTTGGCTTACTCTCTCTCCCTCTGGACATGGACCTCTGGAGCTTTGAGTTGCTATGGAAGAAGTCCCACTACCCTGAAGCCACCATGCTGGAGAGATCATATGGAAAGACCATACAGAATTCAGGAGAGTTGTCCAAGGAGTCCCAGATGCACTGGCCCAGCAGTCTTTGAATCTCCCCAGCCAGTCACAAATATGTGAGTGAGTGAGCTTTCAGGTGATTCCAGCCTCAGCCCCAACCACAAGGCACATGAGAACCCAAGTGTTAACTACCTAGCCAAGCACAGTCAAACCCTAGGACCTGAAAGACAACCATAAAATGATTGTTAATGTTTTAAATTTCTACCGTGTGGAGTGGTTTGTTACACAGTAATAGGTAACCATAACAGCAGTTTTGCTTGGGTCATGGGATAAAATAATTCATGTCACATTCTGTGTTGCTTTAACATTTTATAATGACTACCGTTATAGAATGAGGGAAAAGCTTTTTCAAGTTTTAATGAATATGAACTGTCTTGCCTATTCAACCATCATGCTTAACATGCTACCAGAATTTTCTGTTAAATAAAAATTAGTTGGGTGAACCTGTGATTCCCCCACCAATCTTCATTCTTGTTAGATCTAAGTCATATTTGATAGAATAAGGACCATCAGGGTTAAATGCAGGTGATTAGATCTAAACTGGTCCCCATCCCTGTTGGCCTGTGCTAATCCTCTTATCTCTGGCTTGTAGGTTCCACAGGAGGCTGGAAAATAAAGCTTCATCTGCAGCAAGTAACAGAAAAGTTGATTTGGCCAGATTTAGACTTGCATGTACATTAGAGTCTGCCTGACAAAGTGAATTAGGATTATATTTGGGACACAGAACAGAACTAAGAAAATAGAAAGTCACAAATTTTTATAAAAATCTGCACAAGTCTTTGCAGAGGAAATGCTTAAATCTATACCTAGATACTTGTATTTCCCTGAATCATTCTCCAATTTGTCACTTTCAACAAACATCTATTGAGAACTTTCCATTTGCCAGGCTCTGAATATGGGACTAAAAGAATGAATAATTCACAGTCCATGACCTCAATACACTCTAAGCCTAAAGAGAAAAATTAACATGATTTGTAAGACTTGATAAATGAAGACAATGTTTGGTCAATAATTAATGTCATCAGATTAAGAAAGCGTAAAGATTTTGTGCAAAGCACAGTCAACTGAATTTTACACCATTCATGTCCTTTTGTGTTAGCTGTACCTGAGAAAAGCCAATTTGCGGTTTTATGAATAAATCAATAGAAACCTGTGCCATCTCATTGTAGCTAACACAAATGCAAGAGGACTGCCTAGAAACACCAGAAATATCTATATATTGGCTAGGAATAACTTATGAAACCTCATCTATGAAGAGTCGCAATTACTTATCACTAGGATTTTTTTTAGTATCTATTGAGAGTCAAAAGGAAATGAGGCAGTGCTGTTGCTTCCTTGACTCTTACTTCATAGTGCATAGGACAGATAATGAACATATAAATAAATACATCACTGATGTAATATGAGGTGGTAAGCAGGACTTCAATGAGATGCTAAGCAAGTATGAGTACAATGACACAGAGTGGCTTATTACAGAAAAGGAAGTTTAGGACTTGGGGAAGGACTCTCTTAGCTATTTGAGCAGAGAACTGAATAGAATAAGGGAGTGAGCCATGAGATGTGGGTACACATTCCAAGAAAAGGGAATAGCAGGTTTAAAATCCTTATATGAGAACAGGTTTGGCATACTGCATGGACAGTAAGTGAATAGAGCTAGGGCAGAGGGATTTGGGAGAGTGCAATCAGATATAGTCATGGAAGTAATCAGAAACCCATCCAGGCTGAGTCTTATAGGCCATGGTAAAGAATTTTATTTTATTTTATTTTATTTTATTTAAATAAAATAAGTATTTAAAGCCATAGGACTTGGTGAAATTACCTAAGGAGTGATTACGAAGAGAGAGCAAGGTCTATGACAAAGCCCTGGTGGAGTCTAATATTTAAGAAACAGAATAAAGTAGTAGTCAAGAAGCCAAAGGAAGAATGTGAAAAATTTTCCAAGGAAAAAGAAGGAGCAACTGTTTCAAATACCACAGGAGCCAAACCATTACTCCTAAAATCATACTTTCTGATCTGCTTTCTTCAGCCCAGGCAGCTATCATCCCTAACTATCTCTCAAGCAGTCCTGAATCCTCAGCATTGAAACCAAAATGAAACTACCTCCTTCAGAACAGATTTTTCAGAAGATGAAAAAATTTCAAATTTCTTCTTTGCCTCTGTCTTTCTTATACTTGCATATGTCCCTCTATATATATTCTCCTTTTAACAGAGGATTGTAAATGACTCAGAACTACAAACCTCTTTTAAATTTGGCATACAGTTTTAGGTAATACCATCTGTGACACTTATAACCACCCTAGAATGATCAGGAACATCTTCTACTTACTGTCATAATAAAAAAATAATATACTGCAACCAAGTATAGTTTATCCCCAAATTATAAGAATAGTTTAACATTCAAAAATCAAAAAATGCTATCCATCACATTAATAAACAAAAATAAAACTACATTATCATCTCAGTAGATGCAGAAAATCCTAAATCCATTTCTGATTTTAAAAAGAAAAATACTATGAGAAGAAAAAACAGGAATCAAAGGGAACTCTCTTATGTGATAAAGATCATCTGTGAAAAATCTACATAAGGAATGGTGGGGGTATCAGAGATTTTTCCCTAATATAAACAATGGGACAGGAAGTTACATTCTCCTCATTTTCATTTAACATTGTGTTGGAAGTTCTAGCCAGTGCAATAAGGCAGGAAAAAGAAATGAAATCACTCAAATTAGAAAGGAAGAAATAAAACTGCTTTCATTCACCGACAACACAATTGTGTATGTAAAAAAATAAAAGGAATAAACAAAATAAGCTATTAAAACTAATAAGTGAGTTTAGCAGGGTTGCAAGATACAAATGTACTAGCATAAAGACAGACACATAGACAAATGGAACTGAACAGAGAGCCCAGAAATAAACCCAAATATGATCAACCAATATTTGACAAGGGCACCGAGAATACACAGTGAAGAAATTATAGTCCTGTCAACATATTGGGAAAACCAGGTTTCCACATGCAAAAGAATGAATTTGGATGCTAATCACACACCATACACAAAAATCAACCCAACATGAATCAAAAACGCTCATGATTCTGGTCTTGGTAGAATTTCTTAGCAATGACATCAAATGGACAGGCAACAAAGCAAAACTAGACTTCAATTTGACTACATCAAATTAAAAAAACTTCTTCTCTTCAAAGGAAACAATCAACAGAGTGAAATGGCAATCTATGGAATGTGAAAAGATTTGCAAATCATGTATCTGATAAAGGATTAGTATCTAAAATACACAAGGAACACATACAACTCAATAGGAAAAAAAGTATTTGAATTAGAAGATGGGAAAAGATCTAAACAGACATTTTTCAAAGATGACATAAAAATGGCCAAAAGGTATGTGAAAAGATGCAAATCAAAACTAAAATGAAACATCTTTTCACATGTTAGGATGGCTATCCTCAAAAAGTCAAAAGATAAGTGTGGGAGAGGTTGTGGAGAAAAACAAAACACTTGTTCATTGTTAGTGGGAATGTAAATTGGTATACAATCCAGCAACTCTATTTCTGAGTTTTTATCCAAAGAAAATGAAATCGGTTTCTCAAAGATATAGCTGCACTCCCACGTTAATTGCAGCATTAGTCCCTATGGCAAAGATATAGATAAAACTTGTGTCCACAGATGGATGAATGGATAAAGGAAATGTGGTTTACATATACAATGAAATACTATGTATTAATCACTTTAAAAAAGAAGAAAATATCAGTATCTGTGACAACATGGATGAATCTGGAGGATATTATGCTAAGTTAAATAATCCAGACACAGAAAGACAAATACTGTATGATATCAATTATATGTGAAATCTAAAAAAGTTAAACTCATAGAAACAGAGAACAGTGGTTTCCAGTGGCTGAGGGGTGGAGGAAAATAATATATTGATCAAAGGGAGCCCATTTTCAGTTATAAAGTGAACAACTTCTGGAGATTTAACATACAGCCTGGGTGATGGACGTGTTTATGAATTTGTGAAAATCATGATACAATGTAATGATTATTATAATACATATATCAAGTTGTCAAATTATATACCTTATATACATACAATCTTTATTCAATAAATTTTTTAAATTTAAAAAGTTTCTATTCAGAAAGATCTGAATAGATATTTCTCCAAAATATATATATACAAATGGCCAACAAGTATATGAAAAGATGCTTAACGTCACTTATCAACAGGGGAATGCAAATCAAAACCACAATGAGATATTATCTCATATCTATTAGGATGGTTATAATTTTTTTAAAAAAAATAAATGTTTGTGAGAATATAGAGAAATTTGAATCCTGTACACTGTTGCAGGAATGTAAGATGGTGCATCTGCTATGGGAAACAGTTTGGAAGTTTCTCAAAAAACTAAAGACAGAATTATCATATGACCCAGCAATAAATACCCAATGCTTCTGAGTATTTATCCAAAAGAATTGAAATATCTGTGTGTGTGTGTGTGTGTGTGTGTGTGTGTGTGTGTGTGTGTGTGTTCCCATGATCATTTAAGCCTTATTCATAGTAGTTGAGATGTGGAAATAACCTAAATGTCCACTGAGAGATGAAGAGTTAAAGAAAATATGGTACAGTTGGCTCTCTGACTCTGTGGGTTCCACAGTCATGGATTCAACCAACCTTGTATAAAAATAGTTGAAAAACAATCGTGTCTGTATTGAAAGTATATAGACTTTTTTCTTCCCATTATTTTTTCAACAATACAGTACAACAAATGTTTAAATAGCACTTATAAATAGTATTTACATTGTATTAGGGAGTATAAGTAATCTAGAGATCATTTAAAGTATACAAGAGGATGTGCATAGGTTTATGTGCAAACATTACATCATTTTATATCAGGAACTTGAGCATCTGCAGACTTGGTTATTTGTGGAAGGTCCTGGAACCAATCCCCCATGGACACTGAGGGATGACTGTATATATTAGAATATTGCTTATCTTTTAAAAAGAAGGAAATCTTACCATATGCAACTACATAGATGAACCTTGAAAACATTATGCTAAGTGAAATAAGCCAGTTACAGGAAGACAAATACTACATGATTTCACTTTTAGGTATCTAAAATAGTCAAACTCATAAAAGCAAAAATAGTGTGGTTGCTGGGGGCTCAGGAACAGGAAGAATAAGGAATTGGAATTTAATAGGTATAAAGTTCCAGTTATGCAAGATGAATAAATTCTGGAGATTTTCTGTAGAACACTGTACTTACGGTTAACAATACCATACTAAACTCCAAATTTTTAAAAGGGTAAATCTCATATTATCTGTTCTTACCACAATTTACAAAAATTAAAAAGCGTGACCATGCAAAGTTTTGCTGAGGATTTGGAAGAATTGGAACTCTCGTGCACTGTTAGCACTGTTGGTGGGAATGTTAAGTGATACAACCACTTTGAAAACAGTTTGGTTGTTTCCTAAGAAATTAAACATACATATATCTACCATGTATTCCAACCATTTCACCCTTAGGTATTTAACTAAAAGAACTGAAAGTATTTATCTATACAAAGGTTTTTCATGAATTATAAGCTTTGCTTATAATAGCCAAAAACTGGAAACAATTAAAATACCCACAAACAGATGAATGAATAAACAAACATGGTTTACAGTGTAATAATACTCAGTAATAATGTGGAATGAATTATTGATATATACAACAGTATTAATGATTCTCAAAATAATTATGCTAAGTAGAAGTCAGGCATGAGTCCATTGACATAAAATTTATATAAAATTCAAACTAATATATAGGACAAAAATTAGACCAGTAGTGGCCTGGGGATGCAGATGGGGATTGATGGGAAGGGCACATGGGAGAAATCAACGTAGGTACAAAGAAACTTGGGAAGTGATATACATGCTCATTATCTTGATTGTGGTGATGGTTTCATGAGCGTATTCATGTCAAAATGTATTAAATTGTACCTGTTAAATATGTACAGTATATTGCATGTCAAATCTCAATAAAATTATGTTTTAAAGTTTTAGTAAATTAGAAGATATTTCAGATACAGCTTTTGAATAATGTCTTTTGATAATGATAGATATAACAAAAGTAATAAAGTATATATACACACTTCAGATATATCTTTTGAATAACATCCTGTGATAATAATAGATATAACAAAAATAAAGTATATATACATATATATATATGTATATATACAAGTCCATATTTGTAAATGGTAAGAAATAACAATAATCAGTGTTTGAAAAGGAATATTGAATTCCTTGGGTAATCACTGAAGGGAAGGTTAGTGCCTGCTTGGAGGCACTAAGCCAATTAGCTATTTATTAAAGCACTCTGAGCCAAGAAATATTCTGGAAGAGCTTTGAAGGCAAATACTGCTCTTTCTGAGGGAGTTATAGATTCCCCCAGACTCTCCTCATTGGCCTACAAGAGGACCAAACTGAGTTCCATGAACTTCACAATTATGTCAGTCCATCAAACACACCCATCTCAGCCCACACCTACCAAACATAGAGACCAAGAATGCAACTGAAACTCAGATACCTCTGAAGCAAGCAAACTGTAACCAGGAACTATGGTCTCGGAGGAGAAAGAAGAGTGTAGAAGGGTGGTTATCAAATAAGAGGATGTACTTTGGAGCAGAACTCCCTTACCTGCCATTTTCTTGCTACATAACTTGGTCAAGTCACATAATATCTCTGAATCTTAGTTTTTCTTTTTCCTTTTGCTAAATGGGGTCAATAAAAATTGCTTTTCATTAACATTGTTGAGAGAGCTAAAACAAATGATTCATGTAAAGCTTTTAGCATTGTACCTAGGATATGGTAAGTGTGCATTAGCTTAAGGGTTAAGTTAAAAAATTGTTTGAGAACTTGACTCCTGGAAATGTCCAGATTTAGAGCTAATCTGGGCCCAGAAGGGATTGTTCCAGACAGTTCTGCAATAAAGAAGCCCATGGATCAGCTATGGGTCCCTCTGCCCATCAATACTCACTAGGCTGTGGAGCCTGAGCAAACACCATAATAACATGAATTATTGACAGTAATTAATAACACGAAATATGTTTATAACATTACCCAATGACTTCCAATTCTCCAAATATACCAAGTTATTTTGAGAATAAACGAGATACATATAAATCATGTCCCAGAGTAAGTGCTCAGTATTATTTCACAGAGGAGAAGCAGGCTGAGAGGCACTAATTAAACTGAAGCCACACTGCTAAGAAGTGGCAGACTGGACACTTTGGTGCCAAGTTCTGAGTTCTTTCCACAACACAAATATGTCTAACACCCACCACAGATGTTGATGTGCTATGAAAATATTTGCACGACAGTTAATATTTAGAAAATGATCCTCAAGAGGCAATTCTGTAGCATTGCTTCACCCCAATCTGTGGTTTCTGAACGATTTCTAGAAGAGCTGATATACGATCCCAAATCTCTTGGCCATGGGTGCTAATTTTTTCCCTATACCTTTTCCTAAACATGCCCAGCCAACTGTTTTCTAAAATATTGTATTTTCTTAAAGCAGATATTCCCTGAATTCAGAAGTTGCTGTTTAATCTACACAGTTCACTTTACCATGTACAACTACACACACATACACACACACACACTTAGTCACGTGATACAATACTAGCACACAGGGGCTGTAAAATGAATGTTGTTGACTGCTATCTATACCCACAGATTGGACTTTTACCTATTCTTCACCAGATAAAAGGAAAAAGAAAGTACAATAACAATAAATTCCAGTTGAGTGATTATATAGAGTAGGCAATAGATTACAGCTAGCAACAGTGAGCATGTTAGATAGGCTCTCAGATCTAACTGGGTGGAAGCCCCACCCAACCACTTGCTTGCCACTCTTGAGAATATTACTCAGTATCTCTAAGCCTCAAGTGCCTCACCTACCTATAAACCAGAGATAATAACGGAACCTGACTCATAAGAATGTCCTGTAAATTAAATCAAATAATTCCTAGAGCAAACTTATTGTAAGCCCTTGAAGGTAATAATGCTTAATAAGAGTAACTTGCTGTTATTATTATTATTGCAATTTTTCTTATTGTTATTCAAAAACCATATAAACAATTAAGAAGACAACACAAAAAAGAATAAATGAATAAATGATGAGATTTGGAAAATCCCCTTGGATCGAAACAGTAGTTGTATTTGTAGACTGCTTTGCAATTTTCCAAATATTCTTGCTTTACTCATCAAGTATTTGTCATGCCAGGCAATACACTGGATTCTGCAGATTGTAGTGAATAATACAAATATAATCCTTGCTTATTTATGCATTGGATTCTCAAAACCACAGTCCTATAAGGTAGATAAACCTACTTAACAGATGAGAAAACTGATGACTGAAGAAGTTACAACTTAAAAGTAGACACTGGAACCTGAGATTCATTTACTCAACAAATATTTATTGCATGCCTTTCACATGCTAGGTGCTTTGCTAGGAACTGGGCATATAGAAATGAAGCTCAGATAAAAAATACTTGCTCTGATGTTGCTTACTTTCTAGTTGTGAGCATTAGACAATGTCAAACACGTAAAACATGTAATATGTCAGATGGTAATAAGTATTACATAAAATAATAAATCAGAAAGTGGAGGTGGAGAGTTCAGGTGCGATTTTACTTAGGGTTGTCTAGGAAAGCCTCTCCAAAAGGTGCTATTGAGAAAAGACAGAAAAGATGGGAAAACTCAGGAATAACATATTTCACAAGGGTCCATTTAGGGTCTTCTAGCAGCCTTTGATTTGCTCAGGGCTTTCCTAACAGCCTCCTTTACCTCTTTGTTTCTCAGGCTGTAGATGAGGGGATTCAGCATTGGGGTCACCATCGTATAGAGCACAGACACCACTCGGTCTCCTTCCAAGGACTGGTTCATGTTGTCTCGCAGGTACATGAAGATGAGGGTGCCAAAGAAAAGAGCGACGGCAGTGAGGTGGGAGGCGCAGGTGGAAAAGGTCTTGGCCCGTCCTCCAGCAGAGCGGATCTGCAGGATGGCCGTGATGATAAACAGGTAGGACACCAAGATCACCAAGATACAGACAGGCATGACGAAAACAGCAAACACAATAATCACCACTTCCTGAGTGTAGCTGTCCCCACAAGAGAGTTTTAATAGAGGAGGGAGGTCACAGAAAATGAAATTGATCTCATTGTTTCCACAAAAGCAGAGAGTAAAGGCTGTGACCGTTCGAACAAAGGCACTGAAGAAACCAGCAACATAAGCCCCAGTGACTAAGCCCCAGTGGGCCTTCTCGGTCATGATGGTGACATAAAGCAGGGGCTGGCACACGGCTGCATAGCGGTCATAGGACATGATGGCCAGGAGGTAGCAGTCGATGGAGGCGAAGAAGGTGAAGAGGAAGAATTGAGCGGCACAGCGAGCCTGGGAGATGACTGTGCCGTGCTCCCACAGCACAGCCAGCAACTGAGGGATGATGGTGGATGAGTAGCAGATGTCCACCAAGGAAAGGTGGCTGAGGAAGAAGTACATTGGGGTGTGGAGACGACGATCTCTGCGGATCAGGATGACCATGCCTGTGTTCCCTAACACAGTGGCAAGATAGAAACTCAAAAATACGACGAAAAGAGGAAGCCTCCACTCGGGATGCTCAGTAAATGCCATAAGGAAGAACTCTGTCACTACGGTGTAATTCCTTTCAGCCATCCATCCAGTGGTTCACCTGCAAGGGCTAAGACGAGCCAGATGAGGAGACCCCTCAAGAGGAATTCAAATGATTTCAAGAAACAAAAGCTTTAAATTGAGTGTCTTACATGTAGGCACTCAACTTCAACAAACTTTGCAGTCGAAGACAGATACAGATATAGAGCTAACTATAATGTAAGATAAAAAGTAACAAATGCTTCTATTACAGAAAGAACAGAGAGCAAGTGATTCCCTGACTTACAAGTCAGCTTTTGTATTTGCAGCTTTGTCCCCAATTAGCTGTTTGATCTTACACAAGGCACTTAACCTCTCTGAACCTCAATTTCCTCCTCTGCCAAAAGGGGATCATAATACTTGCCCTGCTTATGAGATAAGGTTAATGCATAGTTTAAAACAGAAGCAAAAGCCCATTGGAAAGCTAAAAGCACTCCACATATATAAGGTGGCTATTTAAAATTTTAAATGAATGTTTTAAGTAAGGAAAATTTATATTCTCTCAACAAAAACATATGAACAAAAAATCTATCAGCAATTAGCCATGGGCTCTGCTTGTAGGAATATTACTATTCTCAGTCTAACAACATGTAAGTTTAATGAACAGCTGTTATCCTAATTAGAGTTGGCTGGCTTATGAAGGGTGTGCATACACACACATAAACACACACTCAAGCATTAACCTTGAAATTAAAAGGGCAAACATAAGTTTTTACAGGCACCTAACAAAGCTCCATAAGCCTTGTTTGGTTGTTTTCAAAACCCCTAATAAAAACAGTAGCCTGAAAAAAAACTAGCATCCAAAACTGAAAGCAGAAATATTTTTGTAGTCTGGTGTTGTCTGAGCTGCTGTTAGAAGAAATTGGGTTAATAAATTTGTGGGTCCTTGAAACAGTTCTAGAACAGGGCTGTAAAGGAGGGCTTTGATAGTATTTGAATACCTGATGTAGCTGCTGCCAGACCACTACTGAGCTGACCCATTAAGGAGAACAACAAAGAAAATAAATTAGATCTGAAAGCCATGAGCTGGGCACAAACTGTCCTCACCTGAATTCTACTTTGCTAATGCCCTCTTCTTTTGTATAGTGTGTTGTCTGCCCATCACCTGCCAATCCAAAGGACACCTGGCTTCTAGTTTACCCACATGGCATGTAAGACCCTGGGCAAGTCACTTTTCCTCTCTGGGTTTCAGTCACCTTGTCTTTGTTCCCATTCTAGAAACAAAGTTGTACATATGCCCATAATCATAGCAACCTTGCCATATGGGGTCACTTTCAATACTTCTGTGTCTTATTATCACTTCCAGGAGTCTCTCTCTTTCCTCTAGCCCTTGACAAAACAGTATATCCCTGACATGACCATTGCCCTAGATTTTTTGTAGACTTACTTCAAAACACAAGGACAGGGGACCAACCTTTCTCCCTGAGCTTCCCATCTAGCATGAAACCTTGCTGATATGCTTCTTATATTCGCTGTCCCAGTATCACATCCTAATTGGTTCCTGAGGTGGCTCTCCAGGGGGAAGTGATGTATCTTCACATGACTTCCTAACAAGGTGTCTAATTAATATCTTCGAAAGTCTCTCTTTTTAATTTCAAACTTCCAAAGCCCCATCCCTCAGCAAAGTCTGATGGAGCTGGTTCCTAGTCTTACCTTCTTCCTGCCTTATATGAAAAGATATGTACTTCTTTGAAGGTTTCCTATATTTCAGTTGGCAATCTCATCGGGGTTTCACATAGTGCCACCCTAGCCAGCTATGAACTGAACCCCAAAGGAGGTTTTTATAAGCATAAGTTTTTCTCCCCGTTGCCAAAGCATGCTGTAATTGGTGACTTCGAAAGTTCACCGTTTGGCAGAAGCAGAGAATGGTTCAGGTGGGGAGTCATAAGATAAAATGTTGGAGAGGCCGGTGTGGGCGGGCTGTGAACAGACTTTCACCAGGCATGCTGAGCAAATTCTTGATAGTGACCAACTCCTCTACCACAACACTAGTTCTCAAACTTCAGTGTGCATAAGAATTTAGCCAGAGAATTTGTTTAAAATGTGAATAGTAGTGGTCCACCTCCACAAATGGATACAGATGAAGTACATCTCACATGGGAGGAGTATCTACATTTTGAGCAGGCATCCCAGGGGATTTTGATACAATTAATCTCCAAAAATTGTGGCAACAATGCCTTGTGATTGGCAGCTCTAGGCCTGCCTACCCCTCTGTGTGTCCTGCCATAAACCAAAGTAAAATAATAGAGACATGTTCTTGAAAAGCCTGATTACTCCCAAGTCCTGTCGGTGCCTTTCTTCCTCACAGAAGACCTGAGATAGGGTGAATGTGATGTTTCCCTGTCTTATAAATTTTAAAAACCTAGATACAGAGAGAATTGTGGAGCTTCTTGGTGGCAAAACAATGACTTGGACCAGGTCAGTGCTCAGCTGACTGAGCCTATCTGGAATATGGCACTAGACAAAAGGACCCCAGGGCAGTGGTTCTCAAACTTCACTGCACACTGCACATTAGAATCACCTGGGAAGCAATTCCTGCAGCCCATATTATCCCCTTTAGCAACTGAATCAGAATGCCTGAATGCAGGAGACAAACACCAGTAATTTTCGTAAATTCCCTGGTGATTATAACATGTAGCAAGTTTGAGAACCATACCAGAGGCTTCTGCTTTGAAGGCTTTACCTTTCCCCAGGTGTCATAGGTAAATGTCCTAGGGAGAAAAACAGGTTCACTGTTCTCATAAATCTGGAGACCACTGAATACTATATTCTTCACATGGAAAAATCACATTACATGTTAGCATATTAAAGGGTCTATAAAATCCTATAATTAAGAAATCTTGTCAAACTAACACAGGAACAGAAAAGCAAATGCCATATATTCTCACTTACACGTGGGAGCTAAATGATGAGAAAGCATGAACGCAAAGTGGGGACCAACACACACTGGGGCCTATCAGAGCTGGGAAGGTGGGAGGCAGAAGAGGATCAGAAAAAAAAGAATGAGTTATTAGCCATTAGGCTTAATACCTGGGTGATGAAATAATCTGTACAGTAAACCCCCATGACACAAGTTTACCTTTGTAACAAACCTGTACATGTACCCCTGAACTTAAAAGTTAAATAAAAATAAAAATAAAAAAGAAACCTTATCAACTTTTTCATCACCCACCATTTCCCAAAGGAATTTGAGCACAGAACCTCTTTTTCATTAGCATCCTACAAAACTAGAGTTATAAGGGAAGGATGTTCCTTAGGCAGTGTGGTTCTAAAGAGGCTCAGAAACTGTCCAAATGCCAAACCACAAAGTAGTAATTGTTCCAAGAAACAGCATCTCCTGATGACTCATTTCAGGACCTGGCTCCTTGAAGTCTCTGACTGGCTCCCCCAAGAGCAATTGGGAAAAGAATTAGGAGGGAGTCTGGGGGAGCAGCATCCTTCCAGATGGATCCCTCAGGAACAAGGAAAGAGAAAACCACCTTGCCCTTTAAAGAATGCCTCCCTCTTTGTGAAGTGGATCCAATGACTGAGTCCCTGCAGTTCTACTTTATAATTACAGCAACCCCCTCATTCCTACCCCATGTGAAATAGACTGTGAGGCCATCATATCCTGCTTTCAGGAAGCCATAGTCAAATTTAAAACAACCGGTTTAAATGGCTTGATTGAATCATTCTATAATGTATACATGGACTAAAACACTACATTGTACCCTATAAATATATAAACACAATTACTATTTGTCAATTAAAATTTTTTATTTTTAAAAAATGCTATCAGAATAATTATTAAGATGATTCAGTCACCGTTTGGCCAGTCCCAGAAGAGAAGCAAAATGAACCTCAGAGTATAGACCAAAATTTCATATACCATGAGCATTAGAGCCTATAAAATTAACATAAAAGAAGTTTAGAGGTTTTTTTTCTAAGACCTATAGATCTGACCACAATTTAGAAAGGAAAATCTAACAGAAAAATCCAACAGCAAAGACCATTCTAAGAGATGACAGATGACAAATCAGATGACAGATATAATTGATAGATAATAAATAGATTGATACATAGATGATTAGGTAGATAGATGATATATGATAAATAGATGATAGATAATAAATAGGTAGATGACTGATAGAAAAAAGACAGATTAGATAGATAGATAGACAGACAGATAGATAGACTCATTTAATACACAAAACAATTCTATGAACTAGGTATTATCTTCATTTTAAGGAGATGAGAAAATGTAGTCACAGACTGTTGAAGTGGACCATCAATAATCCCACAGTAAGTGGCGGAGCTAGGGCTTAACCCAAGTGCTCTGTCTCCAGAAGGCACACTCCTAATTCCTACAGTATATTGCAAACTCTCATGAGATGTCTCTGAACTCCATGTTTGGGAATAATTGAGGGGTTCTTCCTTTTATGACTGTATTTTCTTTCTAGCTTTTTAGAAAGAAGAAAACTCAGCTGACAGAGGAGACTTAAGTCTCAAAGTGAATAGAATGTGGTAGGAAATTCTTGGGGCACTTGACCAGGCAGGCCCTCACTCCTTCTATGAAGTATCACTATGCCCACTGGTGAAGGGCTGGCCTCACCTTTCTAGCCATAGTCGACTGGATCAGGGAAAGACCTAAGATTACTTTATTTCAAGGGATAATCATCTCTTCTTCCAAAAACATCTTTTATTGAACTACTTTAAGTGTTTCTTATAGCCAAGAAGTCATGACTTGTGGCCAGGAGGCGGTACTAGGAAGTATTTAAGGAGAACGTATCTTCAGCTCTTGACCTGAAATTCATCTTCACTACCTTCCTTCCATCCAGACATGGATGGATCTCATGCCAATTCAAGGCTGAGGAACACCTAGGTGCCTATACATTTGCTTTAGAAGGACTTTGGAAGGACTTACCCTATTGCAAATGTTCCCCTCTCAATTCATCATTGGTATCCCTGCCCTCACTTTACATATTGTAGAACTGTGGGATTTTTTTCTAGGCTCTCATAAGATGCTGGAACTGAAGGGGACATTAGACGTCAAATAACCCAGGCGTTTCAATTCACAGATGAATGTACTGAGGCTTCCAAATAGGAAGATGTTTAATGATTACATCAGTAGTTAATTTGATTCTCAGTCTGTGACTTTTTAATGCCAAACTGGTTAAGCAGCACTTTATCCAGTGGTACCAAATTGCTCTTAAATGTAGACGGGTCCTCAAATAAGGATGACCAAATAATTAAGCCCATTAATCTTAATTTAGTCCTATGCATATTTGTGCTTCTTCCAAATCCTCTCAGAGGTGTACAATCCTGAGATAAGTGTCTTCCATTTCTTCCCTTACAAGGTTTCTCCAAGTGTTTTCAGAGCCTTCACGTCTGAATTTTCCAGAATGATGAAGCTAAAAGGAATTTTGGAATCCAGTGAACCTTCTCATTCTACAGATGTGGAGAATGAAATCCCAAAGGAAGAATGACTTACAATGCCAGGGTTTCTTAATGAGAATTTCTTAGTTGTAAGTGGCAGAAGCCCAGCAGGTAACATGGCTTGAACCCATAAATGAATTCACTATGAGATTCTCAAATCCATCGGGAGAGTAGCCAGGGATGCAGCTAAGTCACAGGCCACAGGCACAACTGTGACCAGCAACTCCCATGATCCCAAGAATTTCTCTGTTGTCTATGATTGTTTCTATCAGCATTCTTTTCTTCAACAAAGTAGAATTTTAAAAAAAATACCCACTGGTTGTGTCTACTCTTCAAATGTTCTAGCCTTTTTTCTACAAAGAAGATGAAAATCACATTTTTAGGTTCCAACTTTTAAAAAATCCCAAGGAAGAACCCAGATGTTATGTGGCCAAAAAATGGGGTACCGGGATTGGCCCAATGTCAGTCAGTTGCCAGTCATTGAAGACCAGGAAGATGGGATCTACAGGAAGATGGAGTACTTGTGTGACTCACATAGTTAGAGTAAAGAATGGAGCATTTCCTAGATAAGAGAGCATGCTGTTCTGGAAACACAAAAGAATAGATTTTTACCACACAAAGGTAAGAAGAATCAGAGAAATTTCCACTGCACCTGCGCTTCAGGGAACCCCACAGAGCTGTTGGCTGAGCAGTGTCTGAGGGAGGCAACAGGTGGCAGAGTGAAAAGCATGGCAGCCACTGGAATCCAAACAGTTTCTGTTACATTCTAGCTGCCATGAACAAGGCATTGGGAAGACAATGGCTTCTTGATAATTATTTTAAGCTTAAGCTTGATGTCTAGGCCAATGTAAGATGCAGAAAGTTTGTCTCTGGCCATTCCACCTTCCTTAGCCTTAGCCATTCCCATGCTTTCAGTTTCCAGCTTCTCAAGTGCTCTCTCCATCCTAACCCGTGCTCTGAGACAGCTCTCAGACATTTCCCTTCTGAAGAAGATGACTGGCAATGCTCTATGTGAGATCTCTTCTCAAATAACTTAAAATTTAACAGGGCTAAATTTTAGATAGAAAGAATCTGAGACCACAGAGGGACTCAGAATTCTCTTAATCAACCTGCTCCTTCATTTTTCATATGGAGAAATTGAGATACAGAACAAGGAAGTTGTTTTGTGGAAGGAGACACAGCTGATCAGGGACTCTAATCACCCAACACTTTCTATCATATCCTACGGTCTCCAAGAAAAGGCCAAGCAGGCAAATTTAAAGCAAAGAACATGAAACAAAAAATAGGGATTTAAGATGGACTCAAGCTCATTCTTGGCTACTCAAAAATCATGCCATATTGCTCATATCCACTGCAATCAAAATAAAGTAATATCTGCCAAATCACACTTGCCGGGGAAGGGCTGTGGCTTTTTCTCTCCCCTCCTTGTATCAAGTAGTGTGGTCCCCAGAATACCTCATTCATGTTTGGGGAAGAAAAGGATGGGGGGGTCCCCTGAGGTCCACTAGAAAGGTCATGCCACCACAAGTCCCTTCTTTGACAGCTCCTGAGGACCTGGCTCCTGATAGTGGAGTTCTCCTTGAAGGGCACCATGTGTTGGCAGACACTTGAGAACGGTAATGGGAGGACCCAGGCTGAGTGCCTGGTGTGAGAACAGGCAGGATGCATGTGGGTGCTACCATTGCTATTACTTTATGAGCTGGATGTCCAAGGTTTCTCTTTGGAAGACCTTGTTATTCTCCTTTTAAGTACTATAGCCACATTCAAAATGTTCCAGTAGATGGTGTTTCCTGGTTTGAGTAGCCCAGATTTCCCTTAAACAGGTATATCCAAAAGCAGATATTTTAAAGCTTTATTGAGATATAATTGCTATACAAAAAAATTACAGTTATTTTATATATATGTTTTGATGAGTTTGGACATATGCATATCATATATCTGTCATCTCCAAAAAATTTCTAATGTTCTTCTGTGGGTTTTCTTTTTTGTTGTTTTCTGGGTTTGTGGGTTTTGGTTTGGTTGCTTGATTGGTCTTTTGGTGGTAAGACTACTTAGCATGAGATTTATTCTTTTAACAGATTTTAAAATATTCAATATATTGTTAACTATAGGTATTATGTTGTACGACAGATCTCCAGAACTTATTCATCTTGCATAACTGAAACTTTATGCTGACTGGACAATTTCCCTATTTATTCCTCTTCCCAGCCAAGGAAATCACCATACAACTCTCTGCTTCTATGAACTTGACTTAGGCTGGTGCAAAAGGAATTTCAGTTTTGCCAATGAAAGAAATGGTAAAAACTGCAATTCCTTTTGCACCAACCTAGTATTTTTAGATACCTCATGTAAGTGAAATCATGCAATATTTGTCTTTCTGTGACTTGCTTATTTAACTTAGCATTATATCCTCTAGGTTAATCCATGTTGTCAGAAATAGTAGGATTTCCATTCCAGAATTAAAATAACTGAACAAAAAGAATCATAGGTTTTTTTGTTTGAATGCATTCAACACAAGGTGTAGCAAAATGTAAGGAGATACTAACACCCATTTACAGTCAGGTAACTTCCCTATTGTCAACTTTTCTTACAAATTTCCTAATTGAACGCTTACTCACCTTCCATATATAAACTGAAAGCATTTTTTCAACTTTTTCTGAGCTCTACTTATAGACTAAAAGTAGATGATGTTCCATATATAATGTGGGGTTTCATAACCACTAGTTCCTCAGACTTTTCATTTAATCAGAAGGAGGCATTATATATTTTTCTTCGACCTGGCAACTTATTCTTAGTACCCTCTTTCCATTCATTGTGTACTTCCCAACTTCTGGTAGATTTAAGAGAGCAAATAACCCCTTAGTATACTGTTCTTATTCACACAGACACAACATTGTCTTTTCCAACCAGGATGGAATTTCATATAACTGATTCAAGCTTTCTTACATTTCCTTAACATTTTTTTACACCACCTGTAACACAATCGACACATATACTATTTATTAATCATCCCCCTTAATGAAGCTATACATTCTAAGCCTTGGTTTTAACAACCAGACAAAATACTCTTAAAGGGATAAAATATTTCTTGTGAAAATTTCAATATATATTTTTAAATATCCTGTCTTCTAGAATAAACTTAATGTCTTTAAAGATTCAGATACATTTTATTTTACTATAAACCGCCTTCTATTGAATATTCTTTGGCCACTTGCATGCTGAATCTCCTACCTTTCACATATCTGCTTCTTCCCATTTAAAGTCCTATAACTGAAATTCCATGTTTGCCACAGCATTTTTTGCCTGGCTGAGTTTAAATCAGCCTAGGTTTGTAAGATACTATCACCCCTCTCTCCACATTTCCCCTTCCACAATTGTTTATATCATTCACATACAACGTTTTTGGTTTTTTGTTGTTGTTTTTTGTTTTTGTTTGGTTTGGTTTCTGGTAATCCAGGAGGTAGAAAAAGAAGAAGTTTGAGTTCCAGGATAAAAACTTGCTTAAATGAAGAAAAGATTAATTGATGGAGCCTGCTGCCTTCCTGTGCCTTTGATTGAGACAAGTCCTCTGTAATTAGAGAAGTAAAAATCAAGAACAGACAGATTTTGTGAGGCTTTGGATGCAGGCTGAGCTGTTGCAGAGCTCAGGGACCCAGGATAGGTAAGGATCACCCTCCTGCCTATCCCCATGTGGAATTCAGCAATGTTCTGCCTCCCTGAGGGCAAAAGCTTTGAGAACACAGAGAGTCAATACCTGTGATACAGACACTGAACACACCATTATGGGCAGTGGGAATGGTATAACTTTTCCAAGTGGATTTTTAGTTATGCCATATGACAAGAGAGAGCTGGACTAGGTAGAGAACAACAACAACAAAAAAAAATGCATATATCCAGAGGTGATAGCAATTGACAGACATGTTATTATAGGCATTGTTTAGAACTTTGTATGAAGCCTTCTTGAGAACTACTACCAGTATATGAAGGAATACCTTGAGCAGGGTCAGCTTTACTAATTGGATCATCAAACAACCATAGTTTGATCATTAAAAATAAACGTAATCTAGGCTGAAGGTAGTGAGTTACCTCAAATGATTGTTCACAGATCAAACTCAATTCCTTATTCCATTCTTTCCCTCCTTCTCACTACTGCACTTGACTAGTCTTAAAGTAAAATAATAAAATAAACAAATAAATAATAAATAAATGTAATCTAAATATTGAATCCTAATTGATGATATAATTCCAAAGTGCATAGAAGTAAAGGGTACTAATGCTGATGTCTGTAACTCACCTTGAAATGTCGAAAAAAAGTGGTTTGATGAGTGAATTGATTGATGAATAAACTCATGGATAGACTACATCTATGTAACCAAGTAAAGATAGCAAATATTAGCAATTATACAATCTTAGTACTGAGTATAGGAAATCTATTATACATTATTTATAACATTTCTATATAATGAAATCTTTCATTAAAATTTTTCTTTAAAAAAACTACTGTTATAATCACAGGCAGGTGAGGTGTGCCACATTTGGATTTAATTTCACAGGATTTAATTTCAAATCCTTTTGTCACTTGTCCTGGGAGTCAAGACTCCCACTCCAATCTCTTTTCAGACTAACTTTTGCTTGTCTTTCTTCCTCTCCCTGCAAAAGTTCTGGTTCTTTTTTACACCTTGTGCCATAATATATTCATTTAAACATTGAGCATGCTATAAATAATGAGCATCCAGAACACTGACACTACAGAGTAGGTGGTTCTCGGGATTTTCCAAGTTTGGAGATGGTTAGGACAACTTGACTCTATTGAGAAATTTTCTGAAGGCCTCCTTCACTTCCTTGTTCCTCAGGCTGTAAATGAGGGGATTTAACATGAGGATGACCCCTGTATAAAGCACAGACACTACCTGATTCTTCTCCAAAGACTGGCCCGAGTTACCTCTGAGGTGCATGAAGATGAGAGTACCAAAGAAGAGTGACACAGCAGTGAGGTGGGAGGTGCAGGTGGAGAAGGTCTTGGCCCGGCTTCCGGCAGAGGGCATCCTCACGATGGCCACGACGATAAACAGGTAGGACACCAAGATCACCACCATGGAGGCAGGGATGACAAAAATGGTGAACACAACGATCACCACTTCCTGAGTGTAGCTCTCCCCACAGGCCAGCTTTAACAGAGGAGGTAGGTCACAGAAAATAAAGTCAATCTCATTGGCTCCACAGAAGGAGAGAGTGAAGGCCGAGACTGTCCGCACCAAGGCACTGAAGAGACCAGCAACGTAAGCCCCAGCCACAAGACTCAAGCGGGCTTGCTGTGTCATGATGGTGACATAAAGCAGGGGCTGGCACACAGCCAAGTAGCAGTCATAGGCCATGAGGGCCAGGAGGTAGCAGTCGATGGAACCAAAGAAGGTGAAGAGGAAGAACTGAGCAGCACAGCATGTGTAGGATGAAACTGCCCCATGCTCCAGCATGGCCAGCATCTGGGGGACAGTGACAGATGAGTAGCAGATGTCCATGAAAGAGAGGTGACTCAGAAGGAAGTACATTGGGGTGTGGAGCCAGCGATCCATGCGGATCAGGATAATCATCCCTAAGTTCCCCAATAAGGTGATGAGATACATAAATAAAAACAAGTGGAAGAGAGGGAGTGCCCATTCAGGATATTCAGTGAATGCAATGAGGAAGAACTCAGTCACCAAGGTGAGGTTCATCTCTGCCGTGATGCCAGTGGTCCCTGAGACATGTAGAATAGGAAGCAAGTTAGGAAGCTGCAAATAGGATTTGCCTGTATTTCTAGTTTACATTTATTAAACATGTACTATGGACAAAATATGCCAGGTATGCCAGGCACAGTGGCTTGCATCTGTAATATCAGCACTTTGGGAGGCAAGGTGGATGGATCACTTGAGCCCAGGAGTTCAAGACCAGCCTAGCCAACATGGCAAAATCCTGTCTCTACTAAAAATATAAAAAAAAAAAATTAGCCATGTATGGTTGTGCACACCTGTAATCCCAGCTACTGAGGAGACAGAGGTGCAAGAATTGTCTGGTCCTAGGAGGTCAAGGCTGCAGTGAGCCAAGATATAGCACCACTGCACTCCAGCCTGGGTGACAGAACAAAAACCTCTCTCTCTCTCTCTCTCTCTCTCTCTCTCTCTCTCTCTCTCTGCCTCCCTCCCTCCCTCCATATATATATTTGCCAGGTGCTATATGGGGCTTCAGAGATGACTGATCTTAGCTCCTGCCATCAAGGGAGTCCTGTGGCATACAGTCATCTTAGCATATCAAGAAAACAGATGGAGTTAAACATTCTCAGAACAGGGTGCACATTCTCCCTCTATTGCTAAGTAGCTGTGTGAGCCCTGCAAGCCAGAGCCATTCAGAGCCAAAATTTCCTTATTGCTTCACTAAGTGCTGACACATAGACTCTTGCCTACCATGGGAATATCCATGTCAGGATTCTATCCCTTTTTCTCCATGACCTCAGCTCCCCCCGATATCAAATCCTTTTCAACTCTCATCTGGATTAGAACAACAGCCATGGAACTAATTGTTCTCCCTGTCTATATATTTGCTTCTTGCAAATTCTTTCTTCTCACTATGATCAGAGTGATAATTCTAAGACTCTAATTTGATCACATCTGATTCCCCTGTTAGAAATGCTGCCATGGTGCCCATCATGGAGAGGATATTTTTGGAGGGTACTTATGATAATTTAATGCATCCATATAATTTGTAAAGATCAAATCAGAGAAATTAGATGTCCATCACCTTAAATATTCATATTTTTAATGCTCTAAATATTCAAATTATTTGCCTCTAGCTATATCAAAATATGCAAAGGATTACTGTAATCTAGGATGGGATATTAGTTAGACTCCTCCACATGTTGGACATGCCCTCCATGAGATCTTCTCTGCTTATTTCTTCATGCTCCTTTTTTGCTTCTAAGTCCTCATACCTACAGCCACAACTCACCCTCTCACACTTCTCTCCAGATGTACTGTATTACTGGCACCTTCTCTAATCTCCCCCAGGTTTCTCCTACATCTCTGAGTCTCAGCAGGACAAACCCTTTCTGCTTGAAATGCCTTCTCTTTTGCATCCTCCAAGTCCTTGTCAGCTCCTACCTACCCTACCTTCAGATCTCAGCCCAGATCGCACTTTCTACAGGAAAGCTCTTTCCTGTCTGCCTTCCTTGGTCAGAGCATGTGCTCCTGGAGCTCAGCATATAGTAAGGGCTTAATATTTTCTCACGGAATAAAGTTACCAAATGATATATAAAGCATCTTGCAAAGGGAAATGTGCTATACACATGTTCGACGGATTACTTTTATTTTTGTGAAAGTGTTTAAAAACAGAAAATGCCTGAAGTCTAAGAACTCACTAAAATTGACAGTCACAAAGTTCATAAGCCATTCTTGGGTTTACACTTCTATCCTCATCCTAACAATGTACTTACTTAACAGATGGCTGTTGTCTTAATTAGAGCCTCTTCATTTACCAAATACAGTTTTATGAAAACTGATACTGCCCTTAATAACATAAAACCGATAAACACTATTCTAAATGATTTATATATTAACTCATTTAATCCTCACAACCACTACATGCAGCAGGAACTTTTCTTATACTCATTTTACAGATAGAACTGAGAAAGAAAGGGTTTAAGTATCATTCCCAAGGTTGCAGAGCTCATAAGTGGTGAAACTGCCATTAGGAACAAAACTGCACACAGACACTCTATGTAGCTTATAACAAGATTTCACTGCACCACCTGGCTATTCCAACAGCCCCTACTCAGAAGGTGTCCACCGTTAATTAAACAAACTTAAATACCAGCTCTGCAGTCTATTAATATCTGAAGGCCAATAGAGGCTTTTGAGCTAATAGTAAGTTCTTTGGCAGAGTTGTAGTGCAGCAGGATAGAAAGGACACTGGATCATCACCTTTGAAGCATGAGACTGGCAGCTATGCTCGTGTCAGACTGACCCATTGGAAAAAATGATAATTAAAGGAAATTGGATCTGATGATCTGAATGGGGCAAGAACCAAGAAAACCAGCTCAGCTTCTTCACCTGAACTCCACATCTTTACCTGGCAGGTCCTCTTCTCTCTTTGTCCACTATTTTTCCTTAATATCTAAAAGGTTATTTCTTGCCCATTGCTTGGAGATGTCCTAAGGGTTTGAGGGAAGAGTATTGTGCTGAGCATCAGGAGGTCGGTGGTTCTTGTTGCCCTCACAGACCTGCTCAGTTATAATGCTAAGCAAATCTCGGAGCCACAGTGTCCTCTGCCCTCCTACATTCGTCACACCCTTGCACACACAATGTGTCAATCAATATGGGGACAATAATAGCCTTGCGGACTGAAAGTCAATCCCTGAACCCTACCATCCTCAAGATCCTTCTAGCCAGTTCTTTTCTGCCAAAGATGCCATTTTATTCTTTTGGTTTCCAGATCTGCAAAATCTGATTAGGATGCATTCTTCACTCTGGTTTTTGTTCAATTCCAGGCAGGGACAGCCTCTTCTTGTGGGCTCCAACACAAATCTCTTTGGAGAAGGCACTAATCAATGGCTAAAGTTGTCTCTAAGAAAAGACAATTATTGCACATGTGGGTTTCTCACTAGGGACCTAGTCCCTCCCATGGGAGGAGAAAAGACTTTCTTCCCAGTTACGGTTTCTAAAGCCCTGTCGTACACTCACTGGGTGGGGTTTAAAAGGCCTGAATCCTAATTCTGCATGGTCCTTTGAGGAGTTAGATGTATCTAATTTTAATTTCTTCCATCAGAGCAATGTCAGAATATATGTCCATTGCCACCCTCACCACTGTGGCCATATCCTGGAAGAAGCGTGCTTTGGAAACACAGGACTTTGCCCCACATTATCCAGGAGGGCCAATGGGGTAGGCTACACAGTAACCTCAGCCAGAAACTCGTGTCTTCTGTTTGCCCTTTCTGGGAGTCAAGTGCCTCATTAAAATCTCTCCCTGCTTTTTCTTTAAATGCAAATGAAAACATAAGGAAAACAAAAGACTGGGATGGTGTGCACAGAGGAGAAATTGACAACTTCTTCTTGTTGGCATAGCCTTCACCAGCTCTCCACATCTTTAACACAATAGTATTGTTTTAGCCCCAAATTCATAGGCATTTTGTTACGTCATTGAATTTCAGTAAGTCTCGATTCGGAAAAAGGGGAAAAAAAAAAAAAGGAAGATAAGGAAGAACAGAATAATTGCCCTCTTTGACAATTACGATAACCAAGAGAAAATGGAACCGTGTGGTTCATTGACTTGTCACTGTGCTAAGAGTTCTAAATGAGAGAAAGAAATGTGAAATGAAGCAAAAAGACAACACAATACCCGCCTATGAGGAATATGCAGCCTAACAGGTGAAATTCTTATCCACTCTATAAGATAACAAGTACAAAACTCTTAAGCTAGCAGTCAGCAAAGTACTACGGGAATAGTAGTATTATGGGAATACTATTCCCTCTACTGTGGGAATAGTAGTAAACAAGCAAGGAGCAGGTAAGATACGAGGGCAAGATTACTTACAGGTAAGGTAAACTGGGGAGGACTTTCCAGAGGAGGTGGACTTTGACAGTTTGGACAGAAGGGAGAGTGGGAGAATTATGGGCAAAACTAAGGAAGGGGGTTATCATGGCCAAATGCATATGGGCAGGAAAGCCCAAGGGCTACTCCAGGGACAGTGAGTGACATTGCTCCTGACCTTGAGCTTGTCTGCTACCTTCTGACTCCATTGCTTTCTCTACTGACATAATCTTTTGTTTGTATCTCTCTTTTCCCAGTTCCAAAATCTTCCAAATCCCTATCCTACTTAATCTACTGAGAGACTAAAAATTCTTTATATATTGTTAGTCTCTGCATAATAATCTAAATAGTCTGTACATAATCATCTAAACCTTTTTTTTTTTTTTTTTTTTTTTTTTGAGACAGAGTCTCACTCAGTCATCCAGGCTGGAGTACATGGCACGATCTCAGGTCATCGCAACCTTCACATTCCAGGTTCAAGCAATTCTCATGCCTCAGCCTCCCTAGCAGCTGGCATTACAGGAGTGCGCCACCATGCCCAGCTAATGTTTTGTATTTTTGGTAGAGATGGGTTTCACTGTGTTGACAAGGCTGGTCTCGAACTCCTGGGCTCAAGTGATCTGCCTGCCTCAGCCTCCCAAAGTTCTGGAATTATGCGCATGACTCACTGCACCCAGCCTTAAATCTTTAAGTTCTAAATAGTTCCAATTTAGACCTTGCATTGGAATTCCTTAAATTTCATGATGAAGATATCCTTTAAGATATTTTCCTTAACAAAGTGGAAACTTTTCTCTACTAGAGAAAAATTAAGTCAAACAAGAGTAATTATTTTTTACTTTTAACATACCAAATAGGGATTCCACAGTAATTCTGAAACCCTACCAGTAAAATATTGCTATGCCCTCCCACCCTGAGATAGAAAATATGTCTTGTTAGGCTATGAATCTGCTCCCTTGGCAGAGGGGGTGGGGGCTTAGGGGGCCGGGAAGAAGCTCTCAGCTCAGTGTTCCTTGTGGCTCTTAGAAAATACCGTAACTGTGATGATTTTTTCATACCCAAGAGAACTTTAATCCTAAATGTAAACAGCTTCTATTTTTTTACTTGTCCTTTTTAACCAGTAATTTTTTTTACCACTTAGAATTTACTAGAGAGAGAGCATTATAAATTTTGTATACAATTATTGAGTCATGTGGAGAAAGTAGGGATGGTTAATGAGTACAAAATAATAGAAAGAATGA